ATTAGAGAAAACTGACAATTTTTAGTAATAAAATATATTTTTAGTGATGAATTATTTGGTCATCATTGAATGTGTAAGGTATATGTGACTAATATTAGAATTCTGTCATAATTGTAATGAATTATAATGACGATTTTTATCGACAAAAACTATTTTATCTCTATGAATATTTTTCAGTGATGAAATATATTTTTTATGATGAATATTTTTCTTCATCATTAAATATGTTTGCATATGTGACTAAGTTTTTAGATATGTCACAATTGTGATGAATTATAGTGATGATTTTAAAATTCATCACAGATTTCTATCATTAAAAATTATTTTTTTTGTAGTGAAATAGAATTTTAATGGCATTAATAAAGAAATTAGTGGCTATAATTATACTTGTAATTTAAATTATATGAAACTGTATCGCATAAATTATTAGATGGAAGTGAATTTTTTGATATTAGGGATAATTCTTTGTTTAATGATTCATGTTTATAATTTAATATAATTCAGACGGCGAAAAAGAAAACTTTACTCCCTCCCTGCATTTTAGTAGTCATAATTTGATTTTTTATTTTTTAAACATAAAATTTAGGTAAAAACTCAACATATTATATAAATAATTATTGAAAAATTTTTATTAAATAAAAATACTCCATAAGAATTACATATAAAAAATTTAATTATTGGTTTTATAAATTATTAAAGTTTTATTTAAAATCTATATTGAAAACGTCAAAAAATTAAAATAAGTGTACTAAAAATAAATAGAATAAATACTTTTTACTTTCCTTTTTAATAGATTTAGTTTAACTTTTTAATTTTGAAAGCATAAATTTTAGATAAAATTTTAACAATGTATATATAATAATTAAAACTTTTTTTCTTATATATAATTTTTGTTAAATATTTATATTCGATTAAAATTTTTTTTGTTATTATTTAAATAATATATTAAAATTTTATATAAAATTTATATATAAAAAATAAAAAATTAAGACATTCTAATATTAAAAATATCAAGATGTTTAATTATAATCATTAAATAAGTAAAGTATAGTATAAATCTTAATTTTATTAAATTTATTATATAATTATTATTAGATATTATGATATTTTTAATATTAAGATGTTTTAATTTTTTTATATAAAAAATTAAAATATTTTTATTAAAAATAAATAAAGAGAGTATTTTTTTTATTGTATAAACTCTTTAATTCGATCTTAAATTAATAAACACCAATTTTTTTTTTGTTTTTTGAAATAAATACAAACCTAGTGAAAGTGTTGCGGTGGGGAAGGAAAGGCTAATGAATAAAGGACACGCGGAGGATTGCAAGAGGAAGAAAATTTGGAATAGAAAGGGGAGCTGAAATGCTGACGCGTGTGCAGTGCCTAGGATACGGTTGGTCTCTTTCCTCGTTTTCTTTTTCCCTCAGATTTTTGAGCTGCCACTGCCAGAATGGCTCCTATAGGATTTGTGTGTCATTGATGAATGGTATAAGTGTGAGTGCACAAAACAAAACGCTAATTATATAATTATAATTGAATAAGAATTTAGTGATATATATGTTTTATATATTATATTTATATAAAATTTTAATTAATTATTTATTAGTTTTTTAATTATTAAAATTTGTTATAATTTTTTTAAATAAAAATATAATTTTTTAATATTCATTTTGATTAATATTTTATAGGAATTTTCTAATTTGTGCCTAAGTTTTATTTAATACAGTATCCACAATTAATTTGGCACAAAATTTTATAGCAGATTCAATTAAAATAAAATATAAAATGTAAAAATATAATATAATATAATATAATATTTA